GAAAAAAACAAATCCGGGTTACAAACAAAAACTGAGGGAAACAAATCAAATATAAGAGGATAACAACGACATAACAGAAACTCAATACTAAAATGCAACACACACAGAAACAAACTATAATATAACAATGGCCATTTTCCTGACTTGGTACAGGACATTTTAAGAAAACAATGGTGGGTTGAACCTGGTTTTGTGGCGAGCCAAACCTCAACCTCAACCTCAAAAATACAACTGTTTGTCAGATTTGATGAATTTCATCATTTAGCGCTTTAATTTGTAGCATAGGTGAAGTTCAGCCAATTTTAACAAAAATAACCTTAAAGAATAGTTAATTGCCATAAATGACTAAGTTTAAAGTATATTTTTTAGGCGATGTTGAACCATAGGCAAACATTTCTTTATCAGCAGTATCAGGTGGAATATTCGAGATATCTACAAAATATCAGAACAAGGATGAACAAGAATAAATATACCACAAAATAACCGAAACAAACCAGCATGCCCATTGGAAAGGTACGCAGTTTCTACAGCAATTTTACTAGTAAATGTCGTGTCAACGTTTATCTAAATGATTGACAAAAGAGATGCAAAAAATACCAAAGTGACATTCAAACTCATCATAGGTCGGAAAATAAACTGACGACGTCATAGCTTAAAAAGAAAAAGACAACAGACAAACAAGAATACACATAACACAACATAGAAAACTAAGACTGAGCAGCAGCAACTTCACCAAACCCGGGTGATCCTAGGCGCCCAGGATGGTAAGCAGATACTGTTCCACATATGGTACCGTCGTTGTACTCATGTAGTATAAAACCCATTGATAAGTCTACTTCGTTAGGTCACATGTTCAAATATTAACCCAATAAACCTCTCATATATCTAAATGCAGAGCATTAATTGATTAAAATTTCCATGACAAACTTATATAAGCAAATCATAAAAATATTGGGTTTTTTTCTTGATACTAGAACACAATCACTGTTACACATTCGATGCTTTTGGTGATCTACAGCATACCTGCTAGTTTGTAAGAATATGTTTCCGACATCTTCTTTGTATGATGGTAGATCACAGTTATTATCGCTAGCTGCATCTGCTGTGTATAACAATGGTTTGCTGTATCCGGGATTTAAAACTGAAATCTGATATGTATTTGGATTTCATAACCTGTGATCATCATCATATGTGAGATTATTTCTTTGAGGCATCAGGTTTGATCTTGGTTCACGTTCATTTCTTATAGATGTATAGAAAAATAGAATGTTAAACTGTCAAGTATTTTTGTACGTGCCTATAAAAAAAACAAATCTATTTTATTTTTAGAAATTTACCTGTGATAATATAAATGTCACAAAAAATTTAGATTTTTGATTTATTCCTGTGACGCGAAATTTATATTTCGTTTACGGTGTCCTGATGGGCTGTCGTAAATTCATGGGAGGTGTTCGTTGTTATTCTGCGGTTTACATGTTGTAATGTACTATAATATTAATGTGTTAAGTGTTATTGCGTATGTGTGTTTGTTGTTTTCCTGTAACGAAGTGTTGTCATTTTAGCCGTATTTTTAACATTGTCATATAAGCGGGAGGTGTGGCTAGCCCTATAACCAGGTTCAACCCACCATTCTGTTCTTAAAATGTCCTGTACCAAGTCAGGAATATTGCAGTTGTTATCTACAGTCTGTTTCTGTGTATGTTGGCGTTTTCTTTCGTTGTAGTTCTGTGTTTCTGTTGTTCCGTTGTTTTCCTATTATACTTGATGTGTTTTCCTCGATTTTAGTTTGTTACCCGTATCTGTTTTATCGACTTATATTTATTGAAGATCTGTATACTACTGTTGCCTTTGTAACATTATTAACGAATACAAATAATTGAAAGTATATCAATAACTATCACTTTTTCTCCTAATGGATATTGTATAAATAGCATTTTACAAAAGATTACAAAATGCAATACAATTCATATGCTGTTATATGTAATTTTAACAATTAGTTATGTAAAGCAGCTCTCAGTTTGCAAGAACTATAGTAGAAAACAAAATACTTATATAATGCTACTATTAAACTATCTATAATGATACTTTCATGACCATCTAAAGAAATGAATGCTTTTTTTGTGATTTTATTGTGAATAAAAAGTGTTTCAGAGAGAATATTTTGTATGGAGCGCTGAATTTCTTCAAACTGGAATGTGTACTTGTTCAACACTTTCAAAACCCCAACGTATGACTTAATGCACAAATTTTGATAGATGATTATCAAACAATAGATTACGGTTATCATTATACACAAATACTGTCTTTTGATGAGGTAAATATGTGGTTGTGTTGACTTTGGAAAAACCAATATTTACTGAGGCCAACGGCCGAAGTAAATATCAGTTTTTTCCTAAGTTAATTAAACCACATATTAATCGAAACAAAAGACAGTAATTGTTTTCTTCCATCTTCCGAGAGAGTACCGAGATAAATACATGTAATGACAAATATTTATCAATTTATCTATTTATTTTTATTCTAAATGACAAGTATTTACTTTTATAATACCAATATGGATGAATAGCTTTTATCAATTTTTATCATATTTTGAGGTAATCTCAATATTTCCACTTTTAATAAACATTTTATTCACTATAATGACAATTGTATTTACAACATAATCTAGAAGGTTAATTTCTTCACAGAAGTATGTGAATATACATCATAAAACATGTCATACCTACTAACATGTAAACTAAGTGTTCTGCACTAAAATGTGCATGGTATTTTTACAATTAAATAACTTCTTATGAGCTCAATATAAGGATTACAAAGTTAACGTAAAAGTAATTAATAGGCATGTATAGATCTATGGAATGTACAACTTCATTAAAGTTAGATACAGATAGACGACGACAATATCTTCATATGTATTTCGAGTACTAGTTGTATTTGAAAAATAAAGAAAAAATATTGGAATTATTAAACTTCAATATTTATTTGTACACAGTTGAAAGTGGTACATTTTAGATATCTTAATACTATTATAACAGAAAGGTTCTTTTATTCTACTTCTACTCACGTTAAATAAAAGAATCGTGTAATGCATTGACATGGCTCATATCTAGTTTTCGTCAATTTTGAATTTCCAAAATAGTCGTTAAAAAAAGCCATATTTATATTTTTGTTTAAGGGAAAGAAAATACGAATGGATAAAAAATAGTCAGCACAACACTAAATAGTATATGAAACATTGAACAACATCAGCATCCTCATTAAAATCCTTATGCTACGTAAGGGTCAGAAATTCTTCAACGAATTGCACTCCTTGTGTCAAAACTGATAAATTTTGTATAAAACCATAATACAATTAGATTAATATATGTCTCTTGTCTTGTCTCACGCTTACTTGTACACACAGTTCGTGCAAATTCTCTTGCCTTAATGTTTGACTAATATGAACGTTCGTAAAGTAGTTTTTTACTAGGATATACAAAACCGTTACAGACAGAAAAAAAACCGGCTTGTTGAAAAATTAAAAAAAACAAGCAACAACATCATAAAAACACTACAAATCAACATTAACCTTTAGAAAAAGACTAAAGGTTCTCTGGAAGGGTGAACATTTTATGTAAAACCAGTGACTACATCCGTCGTATGGAAGTTAATTTATATGATTTTGAAATAATATCCATATAAACCTCATTGTTTTAATGCAAGTTATTTATTTGTTACAAACTCCATGTAAAGGTTGAATTAGCAAATCATTACAATCGTTGTTTCTAGATACTTCATTACAGTCACTGTGGCCCTTTTGTTGCTCTTGAAGTTCTATAATTCACTTCTTCGTACACGTTTCCGACTGCTTCTTCATATGAAGGAAGAGCATAACTGCTATCGCTAGCTGTATCGACTCTGTCAGGCATTCTTTGGCTGTATCCTGGATTTGAAGCTGAAATCTGGTATGCACTTGGGTTTGGAAAGCCGTGATCATAATCATAAGTCAAATGATTGCTGCAAGGCGTAGGGCTTGGTCTTTGCTCACGTTTTTGCCTTCTAAACAGCAAATAAAATAAACCTGTATTTGACAAATTTGTTCATTGCAAGTACTATGTTTTATAAATTATTAATGAAAATTGAAGAAATCATAAAAAACAGAACATTTCATTCTTTTGATTGTTGTACAATAATATTTAAAACGATACAAGAAAACTAGCTGCAGTAAAATCTTCAATCTACATTTTCAGGGTTCAACTTATTTGTCTGTTCGCCGTCTTATATGTTTGCCATGGCGTTGTGAGTTTTTCTCGACTTTAAGGTTTTTAAAGTTCCTTTAATATCTTCCGCCTCTTTTTTATAATGTTAATTTGACACAAAAAAAAACTATATTTAATACAAATGTTACGTTAGTCATATACATGTAATTCCGATGCTTTCATGTACGTACACATCTTTATTTTGAGCGTCCTTAATAACTTCATTCAGAAAAGCGCATCAGCTACAACATAATTTAAAATGTGTTACAACCCAGAAAAGATAAATTTGAAAAATAATGTCAACGTGAATATCGTTAAGTTTTACGTTCATTTAGTTATTTGATTGAATGTGTTGGTCAACAGTCAGTCTCTATTTTTTTAATAGAAAAAAATGGTTGCATCGAATTGATAAAAATTAATCGAATAACTTGAAATGTGAAAATATCTATTGTATCAATCCCAATGATTAATCTCCGTTTACGAGTCTCTACCAAAGTCCATGTCATTAGCAACAAGGTAGATGCCACATGATGAGCTAGAACTGGTTATAATTCAGCAAATATTAAGTTCGATACGGTTTTGTTATGGGGATTGTTGTTTTTTGTCTTTCTGGTCTTTCTGATAACTGTTTTTGCTGAGATTATTATGTGCCCTGTTTTCTTCCTTGGCACACTGGATTTATGCCTTCTTTAGTAAAATCGGTTTTTTTTTTAAACTGTTACAACAATCCATAAGTTCAAAACAACGAGTTAACACTCTTACCTGGATATTAAAATGCAAATCAAAGCAATAACTGCTATAATCGATGTAATGCCTAAAGCTATTCCTAGTCCAATTTTCACTGAAAAATATATCAAAAACTTTCAAATTAACTGCAAGAATTGTCAGTATATTGCGATGTGATCAAAGAGCATGAAATACAATAACAAACTTCAAGTTGTTGAAGGCCGTACGGTGACCTATAGTTGTTAATTTCTGTGTCATTTGGTCTCTTGTGAAGAGTTGTCTCATTGTCAATCATACCTCATCTTCTTTTTTATTATTCAACTGATTTGTTTCGGGATATTATTCAGATGACACTATTTGATTTATCAGAAGTAAGATATATAATTTTTCTTTGCATTATTTATCTGATCAATTAAACAACAGGTCCTTTAAACCTACTATATTGTCTTCACATGTGTTAACATTTTACAAATTTACACGTGCATATGATATGTTGAAAAGGTGATATTATAATTTCACTATCATAGCTATTCAATATTATAAGGAACGGAATAATAATGCAGGACGTTGATTAACTTGTATTTTCTTTAATTGCAGAATATATTCGAATGCAGTTAAAAGGTCAAATATTTTCAAATAACCTTATTAGAGAAAATACTATTTACTTATAACAATTTTTGAATTTTGCATCTACCAAATACATATTTACATACATGATTTGCTGCTTTGGCTTTCGTTGTCGTTGTCGTCGCCGTCATCGTCATCATTATCTTTTTTATGATGCAAATAAGTTGATGATTTATCAGCTAAATATAAAAATGTATAATATTTTAAAAATGCAATAGGTGAAAAGGTTTCACAAATGACGTTTACAATTATCAACTATTTTAAAATACTCTTGACAGAAATTAGTACCCAGATACTTTAGTAGACCTGTTTTATGCCGACATGTCACTCTTAAAAGCATGGATATTTCTTAATTTTTCTACGTATGCCGAAAATAATCATCGGCAATGCCAAGTAATATAACATTTTAGAGAAAAATGAAATATGTGGTACCCATTGGCGCAAACAAAATTAGTTTAGAAAACGATCAATTAGTACGATTACTGCCGATAGTTTGGAAAACAATATGCAACACGTCAACACCATCTCAATTATAAATTGTACTGCAAATTCATTTTATGACAATTTGCTTAATATGATAGTCGCATTCTTTTATATATCATATGATAGAACCGAGAAACTGACTTATATTTGGATGATTGCTTGTGCCCCAGTAGCTTATAATGACATTTTTATATTGTTCTAATTGTGAAATACAAAATGCTATTATGCAATACAAAATGCTATTGTGCAATACAAAATGCTATTGTGCAACAAAAATGTAAGAAACAGTTGTGGCGAAAAGTGAAAACAAATTAACGCACCGTGAAACCGCTTGAAAAATAAGAATGCATAGCAGTAGATGAACATGACTAGTCAATCCCCAAAATATCCCTCCTTAAAAAAAATCACACACCCCCAACCCTATTCCCTAGAAAATCAGATAATCGTCCCTTTACATTCTGTCTTCTATGAGACCTGTCAATATACGCTGTTTTTCGTAGCAGTTATGGACATATAAAGTATTTTGATTCAGCACTGTGTACATTTGGCGTTTCAAATTAAGTTTTTGCTACAATATTTAATTATATACATACGATTCTGTGTAGATGTAGTTGGTGCTACTCTATTGTCGTAGTATTTTATTAGAGGATAAGGAACAACTGGTTCATATCTTGTATCTAAAAATACATTTACATACATTGTTAACTGAACTTAAGGTAACATATGTTTGTTTATCTTCTTATATTCATTGTTTATGTACAAAACATTAACTTAGGAAAATATGATATAAGTGGCGAATAATAAAAATTGAAAGTCAGTTACAATGGTAACAGTCACCTTAATTTTGCAATAACATGCGGATCTTTGGGTTCGTTAGGGGCGTTAAATGAACTTGTCAAAATTAACTGAATTTTCGTGTATAAACATAAAACGATACATTTCCAATAATCAAGTATATTGTGATATTGGTCCTTGCTCTATTACTCTGTAATTGAATAGAAATGTTATCGAGTTGCTTGGCAAAATTCCATTGCGCGTACATAAGAACCAAAAGGGAGTGAAAGGATCTTTGATTGCAGTTATTCATCACAAAACCTCAATGAGAGGCCTTAGACATGAAGCAACATCTTTCAAGGAACTTCAAGTTCGTGTTTGTAATCAAGTGTGGTTGTATCTATTTTTGGATATTTCATATTTGAAATTTAAACCTATGCATTTAGAGATTTTACACCAACATTTGAAATATACTCATGAAAAATGAATATTGTTATTCCTATTAAAAAAAACTATTTGCAGATCCTTCCTTAAAGATATATAGCAACTTACTTCAAAAATAGCATGTACCAATATTTAATGTTTATAAACAATAGGAGATGTGGTTGCCAATGAGACAACTATCTAAATATAGCGACAATAGTTTATCGATGTTCAAATCTAGTGAATCAATTAGGAAGCGGCAAATCAAGGTATCAAACTACAAATGAGGGAATCGAATGAACTCCAAAAGCGATAAAGACTATGTTCCTTTATCTCAAGTTTACGATACTTTTGATTGACTTTTTGGGAATGTTCTGTATGAAATTTGTTTCATAGGAGTACAAAAACAAGTTGGTCAGTAGTAGAGCATAATTAGTATCCATTTGTATACCGACTGCTTGCTGAAATATATATCCACCAAGATCAAGAATATGTTGTTCATAAAAAAGATCAAACATTTTGATAGATCATCTTCGGCAAATTGGTTGTGGGAATCAGTGTGATTCTTCACATTACGGAAATTATATCTTTTGTATCTATTTTTCCCATTTTTGTTAAAATTGTGCAAGAGAAATAATAGTGCATAACCTAGAAAAATAAAATGTTTTAATATACTGCAAAATTTAAAAACTAGAATTGAACAGTTGGAGAAGAATATTAGAAGGTTTAAGAATTCACATCTGATTGACATCACAGATGAAATATACCTATCACAATATTTCTGAAAAAAGAATAGTGGTAGGAACTTTAAAAAAATGTTTAATCGAATATCTTGATGATCTTGTAATATCTTGTTCTTTATAAGGATTATAGTGAAGTTTAGATATCCAGTATAAAAATTGGAGATTTTTTATGTTGATACCAAGGGAGAGAAGGACGGAATTTTGAAACTAAACAATTAAAACAATATTGCTTATGTCTTAGTCTGTTGGAACAACAACATGACGTGGAAAGGATAAGGATTCCACAACCTCGGTGTTCTTGAAAGTGTCTGAAACAGGTGAATTCATCGTACATTGTAGATTTGAATACGTTTCTGAATGCAGCTTTGAAGCAATGTAGTGTCCACATTTAATCCATTCAGAGTTTTGATTCATCTAGGTCGTGTTTTACAAATTTTCTTGCATATTCCTCAACTACATCCATCACTATGTTCAGAAACTGTAAATGAATGTAATTAAATTATGATCTTAACAAACTACGAAATCTTGTTTTCACAAACATGACAACCATTAATTTTACGGCTTTTGTTCTATTGAACATTAAAGTCTATCAATTTCGGTAATGTTTTTAAATAATATCTATCAATTACAATTTTTATGAACTCCATAATTTAAAACAAACCTATGCATTTATAGTATATAGTAGCATACAACAAAGTTTCTGACCAACATGGATTATAGTCCATGACCACTGTACATGTATCTTCCCACATGCACTGGTCTTGTAGGTGTTGGTAGGAAATTGAGGATTTGCAATCATTCCATGTGTAAGTCCATGCTGTACAAAAGATCGGATTAAAAGACTTCCAGCCAAAAACATTCCACTTTGAATGGTACAATATATTCGTTATACCAATAGACTGTTTGTAAGGACATCTTAAGACAACTTCGTTTTGCATGCACACATTTTCTACAAACAGAAAAGTAATTATGTGTAAGAATTGAAAATGGTTTTACACAATAATCATTGTTGGTTTGACAATCCTTACAATTTATATGTCTACATTAGATAGTTCAATAACTTTTAGAAATAAACAGTTGTTTATTTTGTAATTAATAAACCCTTTTACTTAATACAGGCAATGTACGAATATTCAAATGCAAACTTCAAAATCTCCAGTTTACGAAGTATGCAAGTTGTTATCAAAAAGAACTTTGAAATTAATTTGAATTTAATTTTAACAACGACTATTTAAGCTGTTTAATTAAATTGTTTTGGTTTTGATGGACCAGGGGCGTAGCTGCCGTTAGGCACTTTAGGCACGTGCCTACACATCATTATTTCATAAATATTTGTTTGTATTAAAAAAATAATAAACAACGTTATCTGTAGATACACGCCAGTGAAGTCGTCAAAACTCTTTAATTATCGAATGTCATTTGTACACTAGTCCATCATCCGTAGTGAATGGAGTATTGGATATAATGGTATGTCATTATATTCTCCCTTATATAGAAACTATAAACTAGAACTTTGGTTCAGATCATTTCACTTCTATCAACAAGTATTTGAATGAATCTCAACTTAAACACATGATTTTTTTTAATTATTTATGGTCGGCTTTCAACTACTTTCCACTGGGTCTTCATCCGACCTACAATAAAACCCTTGCCACAGTTGAGCGTCTATTTGGCTGTGCAGGGTGTATAAATACGCAGTCACGTCTGGTCAGAATGAGGACGTTAAATTCTATGTCTAGTATTGACAGAATGCCACGCTCTTAACACGTTAAGAAACTTGCAACAACTCTTTGAGGGGTTCGTAGGTGGTTTACTGAAAAGCAAAATTTCTGTTCCTATCCAAAAACCCTAAATTTTGAATGCATGGCGATTCCAAATTTCCAGACCTTCGTCCTGGACGACCCCTATTACAGAATCAAGCTACCTGTTGTATTTATTGTAAATTTGGTTTTGTCCTGAACATGCATGAACTTTTTGACACTGGACGTTTAGCAAGCAATCAATTATTCAACTAGCTCTAACGGTGAAGGTTTCTTTTAAATGTAGGATCGTCAATATGTACTATCAATTGACGTATATATCAATTATCCTCAATCAGAAAGGATTAGATATGAAAATACTAAACAGGTTGTGCTGCTTAATAAAGGGCTACGCTGATCCACACGCTTAGCAATGCATATTGTAAATATTTATTTATTTTTTTTATATATTTCCAATTGTACTGCTGGTTAATTCATCAGTCAGATGTAATTGTAAAATTATGTATATTATAATTACTTCGAAATTTTTTTCATGTATATTATCATGATTGATAAAATGACCAGTTTTCATGTTTTTCTGTACACAAAATTTTGCAACTAAAATGCTGAAAACCGTTTTCCGTCGGGGGGCTTCAAGCCCCTGAACCCCCTACCAGGGCTCTGCCCTGGACCTGCTGGAATTTGTGCCTACAGTTCATTGGATACCTAGCTACGCCCCTGGATGCCCTTAGATGATATGTTGGTATACCTTCAAACACTTTTGGCCGCAATAAAACTTTATATCTGTAATTTTATGATCATGTGCTTTGAGCTGAAAATATCGAATGTTTACATCAGACAATATAATTTTGTATTACCAATTGTTATGAAAGGGAAGATAATAACAAGGGACAGTGGAATATATCAGTCAAAGAACAACAAACAATACCATGGCCTAAAAAAACAAGACGATCATCAAAAACAACATTCTACAAAAGACTAAGCAT